TGTAGGCTTAGGGTAGACTCAGGATCCATTAAAACAGACATCTCTGGATAACGTGCAGTAGATTTTTGTCCCCACAGTCCTGTTTCCATCAGAAACTGCTCTGTAGGCTCAGAAGCCAGAGTTGAACAGAAAGTGACTCCAACATTGGATACTCTCTCACTTTTTCACCTGGGCCTTACTAATTAAAGCACTATATTTCTCCATGTTTCTATTTACTAGCTCTTTATTTATTGGTCCCAGTTGTTCTGCAACTGTTTAAATACTTGCTGTGGAAAGCAGTGTTGGATGCAATATAAGATTGCACAACACATAGTATCTATGAAGCCTACCTTTGATTTAATCACAGCTGCCATTTGTTAAACACTTTCCGTATATATGCAAGGCACTGAGGTCTCTGCATAAGTTCTTATTGATTTCTCATAACAATTCTGCAAACTGTATTCCCATTTTACAGGTGAAGAAATAAATGTGAGTTAAGTTGACTCAGCCACAGAGCTACATGACGGTGAAGTTATCTAAGATTCCGTAGCCTGAACTCTCAGCTGCTATGCAATCTCACCCCTGCTCACAGTGAACTGCAGAGGGAACTCGTAAATCTGGTCAGACTTGGTTCCAAAGATAGGGAACAACTTCTTGGTTCAGGGTTCTTTGTGTCCACTCAGTCCTGAAGCATCCCTTCCAAGGGTTAAAAGCAATGATACTTGCTCTCTGTAAATGCCTAACTTGTGTATACCTCCTTGACTCGTGTTTTGTTACTGAGGCCCCTACAGCTGTGTCAGCATTTGCAAGCAAATCTTTTAAGGACTCCTTTTTCAGTGTGTATTTGTGTAGTCTCACCTCCCCAATTCAAGAGGCTGCACAGATCTTCCTGTCTACTCATCATGGCTTTGCAGAGTAGAGTAAGCCTTCCTAAAAGCATAGGCATCTAAGCAGCTAAGGGAGAAAGGGGTTACATCAAGTTTCAGAAACAGCCTAACTTCATTGCCTCATTTTTGGCAACCTTCCTTATTCTCAAAAGGCTGCTTTGAAAATAGTGGTGAAGGCTGTGTGCTGCCCTCTTGGACCCTGAGATCTGCCTTGGAGGTTAATATTTCACATGCTCTAATATAGTACCTCAGCTGAGACAGGCATAAAGTTCTAAAGGACAAGGAAATACATCCTGTGACCGGTACAAAGTTCTGGATGCTCTTGGTAAAGATGTTTATGTTGCTTTGTTCTTAACTCTGTTAAACTCCCCTGTGTCTGTATATCTGGCTCTTCCTGAAAATGTTACTTATATCTTAAAGTCAATAGGATTATGACTTTGAAAGCAGCTTATAATATACAGGTTAAAATCAGTGAGCTTAAAAAAATAAAGAGTAGCAGCATATATAGTAGAAACAGGGACATAGATCATGTTCAGTTTTGAGCTCAGAGAGTTATTAGCAAATAATCTTGTGTTACTGAGTTCATTCTTCATAAAGCAGAGACACATTCTATTTCATGGAGCTGACAGGATAACTGTTTTAAATGCTTGGTAGGTTGGGTGTTTCATTCCCCTTAACATTAAAAATAGATTCACTACCATTTGTGGAACAGGCCTACTGTTAAATAAGTCCTTAACTCAAGTTACTCCCTTTACCAGTATTTTGAGACTGACTAAGCAATTTCTTCTCTGCTCTGTGTAATTAGGGCTAGAAGGTAGAGTGGGCAGAAGGTGATACGTTGGTGTCAGAATATTGCTTTAGAATACTGGAATTATTCATCAGTATCATTGCTGATACCACTATATCCATATTGATGGAAAAGATAAGCAAGAATAAGAAAGTGCCAGCCAAGTTTGACTCTACATGTGTTCTTAGGCCAAGCATTCCAGGCTTCTAAATACTGGATGTCTTGCATGCATAACTTTAAGGGCTAAACAAACTATAGCAGATTAGCAGATTTTTTAATTTTTTAATTTTTTTATTTTAGTGCAAAGGACATAGTTGTCTTAAGATGACTCACACGGTGTTCTGGTTTACATTTCTCAGAGCCTTCTCAGAAAAGATGTTGCAAGCTCCAAAATCTCTCCTAGTCATCTGATTCTTATGCCATGGAAAGGGGATGTCTTCACATTCTTTCAGGGAGGTTTGTAAAGTCCAAAATCCAAGCTAGATATCTTTTCTCAAGTGGAAGCAAATTTTATTGACTTAGCAAAGTTTCATTTACAAATTTGTTCTACATTAGGCCTCAAGAAGGAGTTAAGAATATACAGTAACTTTAGATCTTCATTTGGTTCCAGGTATATTTTCTATTTCTCTGCTCAAGCTTCTAATGAAGGAAGCAGTCTGTCCCTAAAAACTAGAACCAGTTAGGTTTAGATGGGGAGCTGTTCAGGTAACCCTTTGCATATGTGTTGAGCTTGAATTTGTGACCCCTACCTTATGCTAACATTCATTGTGTATGTCTCCTGATTAATGTTGTGCTTATGGTCAGAAGGGTCCCAGGGAACCTAATGAATGAGAAGAGTATACATTCTAGTTGTTATATTCCCATTCCCCCCCCCCCCCCTTATATAAGATCTTTGGCCTTACTAGAGCTTAAAACAGACCCAATAACTCAATGCAATCTAGACTTATTTTTAAGCTATGCCTTGATTAGTAAGTATTAGAACTGGACATATCTTTCGGCAACCACAGCAGGTGTATAACAGCATCTCTGTAGCTATTATGAGATTTCTCATATGAGATTCATCACTGTCACATCTGAGGAACCCTGGCTTGTGGCCAGACAGCCTGGGCTAGACCTGCATCTGTGTAAGTTACAACCTCTGTGCCTTGGCTTTCCCTCAGGAAAAGTGAAATCACACTGTATCCTAATACTCAGGGTTATTGTAAATTTTGGAGTTAATGCAGGTAAAAGGCTAATAGTGTTTGGCCCCCAAAGATGTCTTAAGTACAAAAAGCTTTGGCCCAGCCAACATGGCTCACTGGTTGAGCATAGACCTGTGAACCAATAGGTCACTGTTCGATTCCTAGTCAGGGCACATACCCAGGGGGGCTCAATTCCCAGTGTGGGGCCTGCAGGAGGCAGCCAATTAGTGGTTCTCTCTCATCATTGATGTTTCTATCTCTCCCTCTCTCTGCCTTCCTCTCTGAAATCAAAAGTATATAATTTTTTTTTTTTAAGGAAAGAAAAGAACCTTTTACTCTGTAAGACATCCACGTGCAGAGACTTCACTATGGCTCCTTACTATCAAGGTGTCTTTGAGCAAAACTAACAACTAAATCTCCAAATGAAATAATTCAGATAATATTAACCATACATAGATTTATGTATTTATGTATTTGCTCTCAAAGTCTATTAAGACTACAGGACTATTTAATAACTTATGAAGAGCCCTAGCCAGTTTGGCTCAGTGGATAGAGCATTGGACTGTGGACCAAAGGGTTCCAGGTTTGATTTTGGTCAAGGGTACATACCTTGGTTGCAGGCTCCTCCCTTTCCCAGGCCTTGGTCAGGGCATGTGCAAGAGGCAACCAGTTCATGTGCTCTCACATCAATATTTCTGTCCGTCTTTCTCTCTTCCACTCTCTCTAAAAATCAATGGAAAAATACCCTTGGGTGAGGATTTAAAAGATAAAATAAAATTTAAAAATATAAAAACTCATGGGTGATTAAGTACTGACCTTCAGGAGAACATGTTGACATTCATGAAGCAAGTAAGTGGCAGTTGAAGCTTATTGAGCAAAAACTTGAAACTTACTTTTTGTCCTTTATCTAGCAAACAGTACATATTCCCATGTGATAGACTTGATCCTTGAATTAAAAAGCTCCAAAAAAAAAAAAAAAAAAGGTGCCGTAGGCATAGAATTAAGAGGGATTTTGTGGGTACACCAGCCCATTGATCATCTTAACAGGATAACAGACTGTGAAAAGCTTTTCTTTGTCTTTGGTCTTCAGTCCAGGTAGAAAGTTAACCTGTCTCTAGCTCTCTCAGCTGCTGTGTAGAAACTTTGACTCTTGGGGGAGGGGTGGAAGAAAGTTTTGAAACATTAGTTCACTTCCATTAGTGCTTATAATGACTCTGCATTTTTCTGTTTTACCTACTGTGATACATGAGCTTTATGAGAGCATATACCATAACCATGTTGAGGATAGTAACACTAAATAATAGTATAAAAGTATACTAGTATAATAGTATAATAGTATAACATCTGAACTATGCCCAGGTTCTGCCAGGCAGCTCTCATGCCATCTAGTTCAGTTGATAAATCAACTATCAATTAACATCTGGTTAATTCACATGCAATTAATTATACAAAAGACACCACATAAATTAATCCTCTCCCTGATATGTGTAAGGGTTAATTTCAAAAGTGGATGTCTTTTAAAGAATAGTGCTTATAGATAGCCCTGGAGGTAAGATGTAGAATCCTAACATTTTTAAAATATTAATATGAATAAGATAAAATATATAACTCTACACTTGACACTGCCTTTACAGTTAAAGAATTTTTTGAGGACCAGAATATATAATACCCAGTTGCTATATTTTTAAGCTCAGCATTCCATTTATTTCTATTTTACTATAAAGCCTTATTTTTCTGTGTGTGACACATTTTGATCCCTATCTTTCATGCTAGATTTTTATGCCAAAGATCCAACACAAACTACTTAGCTAGATAATCATTACATGTTACCAGATACCAATTGATTAAAGGAAAACCTGGTGAACACCTTCTTTCCATTTTGGAAACCTCAAAGAAAACACTCCTACCCACTCCCCTGCTTTCAGAGTTCAGTCTGATAGAGGAGAAAGAACAAAATGAGTCTGAAGAACTGCACTCGAGAATCACTCTTGGTAGGCCTATTACGGCACAAAGTCTGGCTTTGCTGTGTTATAACCTCATTACGCCTCTAACCTCTGCCTACAGGTGTCTGCAGTCGGTTATGTTCTTTTGAGACCTTGCCATCAAGGAGTGTCTGGTGTCACTGAGTGTCTGCTGGTGCTAGCGTTTGCTGTCTGCCTTCTTGCCATGTCTAACGAAGTGGAAACCAGTGCAACAAATGGTCAGCCTGACCAACAGGCCGCACCAAAAGCACCATCGAAGAAGGAGAAGAAGAAAGGTATGGAGAAATCCTCCTGAGGCAACGGAGAGGAGCTCGTGGCAGTTACCTCTGGAGAAGTGAGAAGTTCAGGGAAAAGGAAGAGCTGGCCCTGGCCTGGCTTCACCCTGAGGCTGGTCTCCAGTCCTGAGCAGGAGAGTTGGAGTTGGGTTCGTTCACTCCATACACAAGACGTGGCTCTGAATCCTGTGATTGCCCCAGGTTCTGCCAGGCAGCTCTCATGCCGTCTAGTTCAGTTGATAAATCAACTATCAATTAACATCTGGTTATAGTTCAGTAAAATAGACCATGTTGCTGTTTTTAAAAACTAAGACCTGTGTTTTATAGACCCTTGGTCTTCACCTGAAGTACCACTACAAAGTGCCAGAGTCTTAATCACTCATAGCTTGAAAATATTGCGTGACTGGCCTGTTTTTCACTTCTACATTTTAGCAATGGAAATGAGACCACACAGGCCTTTTAGGAGAAGCAAAAGAAGTTATGAAGATGGGATAATTACCTTAAGTGATTTTCAAGAAATTTACTCATAATTCCCTTTTGCCTTTTTGACAGTTCAAAATGCTGGTAAATTGTGTGGTGCCTTATTTTTTTTTTTTAATTAAAAACAATTTATTATTAAATGATTATTATCTTCTTTTATTACTAAACAATTATTCTCCTTATATTCTTTTTAAAAGTATTTTAAAATTATAATGAATATCCTCAGGTCCCACCTCACATAGTTCCATAAATTTCCCATAATTCAGTCCATTTTGCACTTTAAAGAGTTTATTTTATAAAATACTTTAAAAGTATTAAAGATCATGGCTTTACTCAAAGAAAGTGAGAATAAGGATAGAATATTGTACACTTAGTCAATCATAGTATAAGCAAGATTTGTACTACTCTGATTTGTAGATTTCAAAACATATTTGATGATACGTTGGGCTGATATTTAAACACATTTATAAACTTTATCCTATATTTCTTTCTTTTCTCAGGCTCAGAAAAGACAGATGAGTATCTTTTGGCCAGATTCAAAGGTGATGGTGTGAAATACAAGGCCAAGCTCATTGGCATTGATGATGTGCCAGATGCAAGAGGAGATAAAATGAGCCAAGATTCTATGATGAAACTAAAGGTAAAAGGCAGAAAGCATGCTTTGTCTCTATCTTCAGCAAATGGCCAATAGAAGGAATTAGCTGGGAAGTTTGTATTTACCTATATCTCAATTATTCAAGAGGAAAAATTTCTGATCGCATAATCTATCCAGTGGCACCTCAATTGATGAGTAGCCATGAGATTGTTTGCATATCCTGAATGGTGTTCTAGTGTAGCAGGACGTGACTTGCCTTTTGCTTTGGACAGATCCAAGTTTCAGCCCTGGAAGTCTTCAGGTAAAAGGATTGTACTTGGAAACTAGTGTTCCTTAGTGTTAGCCCTTTGATTTTCTGAATTTTTGAATTCCAGCATTGTCACTATGTGAAACCAATTAAATAATACTTGTTAAGTAAGACAAGACCTAGAAGTAACACCTTTGAAGAACTTCTGGTACATTCTTCTTGTCTTTACCAGTGACAGTTCTGAGATCAAAAGAATTAAAATGGCTTGTCCAAGTTCACAGAACTAGTGATGTCCTGGCTCAATACCTTCCATTCCTTCTTGCTCTCTCTCATGCAGAGTACTTAGGCCTTTCCCAGATGGTAAAATAAGCCAAAAACAAAGCTGTCTTTTAAGTTTTAGTATCAGAAGCATCATAGAAACTTTTAACTAAGTTTTCTTATTTTCCCAACCTCATCAGGGCATGGCTGCGGCTGGTCGGTCTCAGGGACAACACAAGCAAAGGATCTGGGTCAACATTTCCCTTTCTGGGATCAAAATAATTGACGAGAAAACTGGGGTAAGAATTCACTTTCCCTGACACTTTTCTGACCACCTGAATTTGACAAACAATTTATAACTAAATTTTAGCTCCCCTTTTTCCTTTTCAAATTCTGTAGGGGAAAAAAAAAAAAAAAAGAAAAAAAAATATATATCACTTCTCCAGATGTAAAGGCAGAAAACAGGGTAGGAGGTGAGGAGTTAAGTCACTTTATCTTGAAATTTATTTCCTCTAATGATGTGTCAAGTCTATAAACACTGCTATGCTATAATATTACTTCGGTATTCTTTTTGACCCCAGGTATAAGAACTAGATTAATACTAACCTTTGGTTTGTGATGCTATCGTAGGTCTATGCATGGGTCTCATTTTAATATAGAAGGGTAGGAAAAAGTAAGCTTTCAGTTGTATTGTATTAATAATAAATAACTAATAAATAATAATACAAGAATAGCTTGGCTGGTGTTGCTCAGTGGTATGATGCTTAGCTGTGCAGCCTACAAATAGATGCTATTTTTTCCTAGTAAATCATGTTTTTATCCCCTTTTCAGGTGATAGAGCACGAACATCCAGTAAATAAGATTTCTTTCATTGCCCGTGATGTGACAGACAACCGGGCATTTGGTTATGTGTGTGGAGCAGAAGGCCAGCATCAGTTTTTTGCCATAAAAACAGGGCAACAGGTTAGTGCAAGCCTTGAGGTATTTCTGGAGGGGTACGTGTCCTTAGTGGAACGTAAGAGTGTCTATCACTCAACTAGAGAGCTTTCTAGAAACAACTGGAGATAGAGGAAGGAATAAACAATGATTCGAATGATAACTACATTTATTGGTCTAAGGAATCATTTTTGAAATGTCATTGATTCCCATGGAGCACAAGGCACAAAGATTCTTAGAATGGATATTCTTATAAGGTGAATGCTGATTATAGAATAATAGCAATGCTAGAAATGCAGAGGGATTTGGAATATTATCATGGTGTTTCTTGTTTGTTCTAAGTATTTATTCACCCTGCTGTTTTTGTTTTTTTTTTAATCTGGGGGTAGGGATGGGAGTGGAGGGTTATTCCCCATAAAAACAAGGAAGCAGAGTGAGGAGCTTTAAGAAAAAGGGGAGGTTTGAGTACTAAATAAGAACTGATGGGAAATAAAGGGGAAAATAGTAAGATTAAAATACTGATAAAGATGCTTTCTCTTACTTCAGGCTGAGCCATTAGTCATTGATCTGAAAGATCTTTTTCAAGTTATCTATAACGTGAAGAAAAAGGAAGAAGAAAAGAAAAAGGCAAGTTCTACCCAATACAGGTTCTGATAAACTTAAGACAGTATTAGGACCATATGTGAACATTATGTAAACATATGGCCTGTCTGGAGAATTGGCTCTAGGTAGATTTCCAAATTATGGAAAGCAGAGAAATGTATTTTCTCTTCTTCCAAAATAGCAGGGCAATGGATGGGCGTTATCATTAAGCATTTATTTCTAGTCCCTGACTCCAGTCTTTTCTCCCTATAAGCTTCACAGTGATTCTAAAGACTATGCAGGATTACCAAATTTAAGTCCAGGAACTCTGTTCAAATCCAATATTAATGTAAAAAGGGGCGGGGACTGTAGGGTAAGATAATATGCAAGAGCCTGTGAACCGATAGGTATATTTGTTCTTTTATTTAACTCATTTTAACTATAATTACCAGATCACTAAATTTGTGTTTTTCTTTTTAGATGGAAGAAGCCAACAATGCAGTTGAGGTATCTTCTCTCCTTTTGAATTGTGATATGTGACGTGTATAAGCCCGTGTTTGCTCCCTGCCCAGCATGCTCCCCTTCTGGATTATTGTTCTGTGTTCAGGATGCTTCTGTTCATGGAAGACGTATGGTTGAATGATCAGTGCCAAAATTATAACTGCTTAGCAAGCCAATACACTAGGAAATTAAAACTTACCAACGAAACCCTTAAATACTTGTCATCTTTTTTCAGAATGGAAGCGAGGCCCTAATGAATCTTGATGACCAAACTAACAAGCTGAAATTGGTATGTATGTGACTTTTTATGATTCTTGCTTACCGGAATGTGGGTTTTACTTCCTGTAGCTGTTGCAAAGACAGAATCTGTATGAAAATCCAATTGCAACAACTAACATTGATATTAATATAAAAGGCAATCTTTTTAGTAAAGACATCTAAATCTCATCCAAATACATTTTTTATTGATTTCAGAGAGGAAGGGAGAAGGAGAAAGATAGAAACATCAATGATGAGAGAGAATCATTGATTGGCTGCCCTCTGCACACCCCCCATTGGGGATCTAACCTGCAACCCAGGCATGTGCCCTTGACTGGAATCAAACCTGGAACCCTTCAGTCTCCAGGCCGACACTTTATCCACTGGGCCAAACCAGCTGGGGCTTGAATATTTTTTAAAGAATTTGGACCAGATGGATTTGTTTGGGTACCTGTCAATACTTCCTGACCTAAATCGCCCAATATCAAATCTGTATTAGTTAAATGAAAATTCAATTGTGACGGCCATTTTCCTAAACTTTTGTTTAGGAAACAATTACGACAATATACAAACTAATCTTTTTGAGTAGACACATCTGAATCTAATCCAAATACTTTTTTAAGGCTGTTGACCGGATGGATTTGTTTGGGGACATGTCTACACCTCCTGACCTAAATAGTCCAACAGTAAGTGTCTGTTTTTAAATTTGCAATGTAATGGAAATGACATCTATGACTCAAATTGGCAATTAACCAGAAATCTTGAGCATCTTTATTGAAACTTGGAACATGGCAGCTGATTTTTTCTACATAAAGTGGAAATGGCTGCTAGAACAAATTTGCATATTAAGCCACCATGGGAACCTGTCAGGACTAATTCAGATACTTAATATTCCTTAGATATTAAATCTGAGCAATAGGTTAGACAATGTAGTCCTTGGTATTACTTAGGATCAGAAGGAGGAGTTGAATAATAATTCTTGGCATAAGCCTATTCGAAGGAAGTATGTTTGTTAAATGATTAATTGTAAAGTCTCCTGACCTCTCCATTTATTTTTTATTCTTTCTTTGTGAGTTAGCATAAGCTTGGTGTGAAGCAAGATTTAAAACAAACAAGAGACTCCATTATGTTTACCCAAGACATTGTTTACCCAACTCCTTGTTTTTTTTAAAAAAAAAGTTTCTCATTTTTTTTTTTTGCAGGATATTAAAGTGTATCAAATCTTCTTAATATTGAGGCTAGAGTAACATTTTCCTTTACAGATATGAAAATGGTAATTCTGAGAAAAAAAATTTACCAAAGAAAGAGGTTCAAATTCAGCACAAAAACCCAAGTCTCAGACCTTCCAAAACAGGCCTCCAGTGAAATTACTCATGTAATTTTGAATGTTTTTTTACAACTTCGCTTATTTATTTAGTAGTTTCTTGAATGCCTGCTATTTGCTGGGCACAGCAATGAGATGCACAATGTCAATGACATCATTGAAGCCCATTAAAAAGGAGGAAGCCAACATTAAAACCAATAAAAAAGCTTATTAGCGGATGTTAATTATAAGGTATTTACCTGGCTTTAGAGGGTCAGCTAAGAGTGCTGAGTGAATTTCCAGGCTTGAACATAAAAGAGGAGAAGGCAATAACAGACAAAAGAGCATGGTCTATCTAGGAGTCTCTGACATCAGGGAATTATTACACAAGCCTATATGACCAAGGTAATTGGAAATGAAACCACAGCAGACCAGAGACTGGGCAAGTCTCACTGGCCCCAGAATATTGCAGAGAATCCAGGTCCATGAAACCTCACATACAATGCTGAAGCTCTTGAGGTGAGAAGGAGCAGGGGCTGGGAACCCCTTCTTGGCCCCCGAGCCTGTAAGATTCACACTGCATAACTGCATTACGGAGGCCTCCAAACCACCGCAGAGAAACCTGTTCACTGTTCTTTGAAGCAGGGTGTCCTAACTCACTCGCCTGTAGAACCTGTCATTCTTCACAATGTCTGTTACTGTTCTAAGGAGAAACTTGGTGAAATACAGGATTAGACAGCCCTGGAAGGTCCATCCTAGCTTTGAAACTGATGTCTGAAAAGCATGCTGCCCAAGTATAATTGACATTCAAGTTAATTGAAAGAGATCAGAATACTCAGGCTCTGAAGTAATTTTCATGGGGTTGACAAGGAAGCACTGACTGCTTTGTCTGCTTCTGTAGCCTTCTGGAACGTTTGGAAAGCAGCTTGAGTAAGCCTGAATCTCATTGATATTAGACTTCATACATTCTATGAACTTTTGGTGTATCAATAACAACAGATTATTGAAATTTTTTATTTAATTATTTATTATTAAAGAAATAAACACCATCAAAGTAGATGGTATGTGAAAAGTAAGAGAATCCCAACAGCACTAATTATGTGCTGGTCAGACTTTGCCAGCACATCCTAACAGATTGACTTTCTATTCATAGGTCACAAAATAAACTTATCTTTACTTGATAAAACCAGCATGTCTTAAAAGATTCAAATCTTACAGTAGTTGCTTTGGAAGAGATGAAGAGAGAAGAAATCTCAATTATCAAACTTTATTTGTTAGGCCTTGTCCCTCCTAAAACATGTATACAGAATAGTTTTATGCTTTACAAATAAAGCTTATGTTGCAAACTAAGTAGCATACCTTAGAATGTAACTTTTATTGGAAAACTACTTGAACAATATTCGTCCATACTCATCTAGAAAAGAAAAGAAAATTGTGAAAATTTTGATCATTCAGAGTTACTATGAGAAGAACATAAGGACTGGTCTGCCATCAAGGAGGTTAAAACTGGTGCAGGATGGAGCCAGGGCACAGTGTTGGGGAGCTAAGATGCAGAAAGAGGGCACAGGTGAAGTGAAATAGAGGATCCATGGGAAGAGGCTTTATAAATTATCTGAACTTGAACTGGGTCTTTAAGTGTGTAGGAAAATAGAGTAGTTAGGCTAAATGTAAACTGGGTGCTTCTCCCCCGTTTGAAGGTCTGGCTAATGAAACTTATTTTAATTTAGGGAAGTCCAGGATTTGGCAGTGAGATGTTTAAGTGACATAGCTGCCTAGAGGAGAGCTAGGCTATGGAGTTCAGTAGTTAAGACTTCATCTCTGGACAGACACCACGTGGTTGTCTGTTGCCCCTCTTGCTAGAGCTCCCTAAGAGCAGGGACTGCATCTCACTCTCCTATCACTAGTGCTTGTCTCTCGGATCCTCCAACGATGGCCATGTGGATGCAGTATTGACATCCAAGAAAAAATGCATGAAGCTCTGATCTAGGAGGTGGATGCAGAGTCTTACATCTCTTAGTCATAGTCTGTGAGCTAAACCATTAATCTTTTTTTTTTTTAATCTTTATTGTTAATAGTATTGCATATGTCCCCTTTTTATCCTATGGACCTTTTCCACTGGCCCCTCCCCTTCCTCTACCCCAGGCCTTCACCACACTATTGTCTGTGTTCATGGTTATGCATATATGCATATAAGGACTTTGGCGAATCTCTCCCCAACCATCACCCACCCCCACCATCCCTCTGAGGTCCAAAGTCTGTTTCATGCTTCTTTGTCTTTGGATCTGTTTTGTTCATCAGTTTATTTTGTTCATTAGATTCCATATATGAGTGAGATCATGTGATAGGCTCTTTATCTGGAATTAGAAACAGACCTGAGCTGAGGAAAGCCTTATACATTTCACTTATAGGCCGACTATTCAGAAGTCTAACACTGTGGCTCCTGTTTGGTGTCCTAAGAACTTCTTCTGAAGTATTTGCAAAGGAGAACTCTGCCAGCTGTGACACCCAACTGTTCTAACCAGAGGTGGCTCCTAATGAATGAATAAATACTGAAATCACAAGCATTTGGAGTACATTTTCCTACCTTTTGATTGTTTAAGATCCCAACATTAAGAAGTCTTCCAATCTGTTTCTTTGATTAAAGCAAAATTTTAATGACAAGCTCTTTCTTCTGACAAATTCTTCTGGTTATAAAGATAAAAGCTTGTTTTTAAACATTGTGGTTTATACCTAACAGTAAAGAAGCCAAAAGATACAATACTACTTAGGTCTGATTTGTGGCCTAAACTTTCTGAAAGTGTATCTTTTTCCTTAAAACAAAAAAGGTCTGCCTCCTCAGGCCTCCTTTTTCTTTTTGAGAATTACATATTCCCTTGACCGTTGTTTTTGTCTCAAGGATCATAATGTTTAGTGGTCTGTTCAGAGCAATGCTAGAATTCCAACTTTCATTTCAAAGGTGTTTATTGTTTATATTCCTCTGTGGTCAGCACAGTGGAGTATTAATGAACCAAAGTCAGTTAGGAGGAAGGTCTGTCAGTGTGACAGCTCAGTCCCAGGGTAACCCCTAACTAGTGATAAAGATGTGGCAGATTGATCCAACTGGCTGCTCTTATGCTAAGAAGGATGTTTTATCTGACAACTGAGAACCCAGGTAATTAACGTGTCAGAAACTGATAGGGAATAGAATTTGTAGAGTTTTGAATTTGGTATGTCCTTCAAATTAACTCTTAAACCCACATCTCCACCATATACATAAATCAGACTAGATTATTTATAAAGACAAAGATTAGTTGAATTTATCCTCTAGATAGATAAGCAACTCTTAAGCTATATTTTTAAAAAATATATTTTTATTGATTTCAGAGAGAAAGAGAGAGAGAGAAACATCAGTGATGAGAGGGAATTATTGATTGGCTGTCTCCTCCTGTACGTTGGACCGAGCCTACAACCCAGGCATGTGCCCTTGACGGGAATTGAACCTGGGACCCTTCGGTCCAGAGGCCAACACTCTATCCACTGAGCCCAACTAGCTAAGGCTTAAGCTATATTATTTTTAAACTGCACAATACAAGAGGTTAATGTGCCATGTTGTTAGATTATATCCCTATGTTGGGTTATCACTTTCTTAGAAGGACATAGACAAAATGGTGTATCCAGAGGAGAGGCTAAGAGAATGAAAATGAGAGATCTACCAAGGACTCTGAGTAAATCTACACCAGCAACAAAAGAGACTCATTTAGTAGCTAAAAATATTAATATGTCCATAATTCTGATTTCTCATTTTGTTGTTTTGCATTGGCATTATTGTTATTAATAGCCAGAGTTTTGCTCTTGACATTCAAGTTTTGAAAATAGCATGTATGTGGTTTTTGCATTGAAAAAAAAGAAAAAGAAAAAGAAAAAAAAAAGAAAATGAGAGATCTAACTTGGCCAGCACTTTCAAAGATTCTGAAATATTTTACAAAGCATACCTGACATCTCCCTATAATTGGCCCAAGGAAAGACCAATTCGAGGGAGATATATTAAACTTAAACTTCATCACATCCAGAACTGCAAAATGTGAACGTATTAGCCAGTAAATGTGCTCATTTGGAGAGGTGATGTTACATGACTGGGGTACAGTGATAGGAAAGCCAAGATATCAGGCAGGAAGCTGGGCAGGGCTTCTGGGGTCTGGTCTTACTTTCAAGCTCTATATACTTAAATCACTTGGAGTGACTCACCGTGAGTTCCCTTTAAGACTTTCAAAGACATGAATTGAAACAACCGTGATCATGAACTCAGCCAGTGTGTAAGAGTGAGCGGTGACATGAATAATATAAACAGTAAGATTTCATTTAATTAAGGGGTCAATGACGTTGAGATATAAATAAATAGGCACAAGATGGGGAAGGGGGAAGGGAGGACCTATTCAACTGGAAAATACACTCACCGACAGGAGGAAATCATGGTCAACCATTTTGTTAAAAACCAAAATCTAATGGGAGTTATGATAATCCTGGTCATTTTATGTAGCCTTTTCATTTGAAGTCACAACATGGACTAACACTTTCTTTCTCTCTCTTTTTTTTTTTTTCTTTCCAAATATGCTAGGAAAGCAAAGATATCCTGTTAGTGGATCTAAACTCTGAAATCAACACCAATCAGAATTCTTTAAGAGAAAATTCATTCTTAACAAACGGCATCACCTCCTCCTCTCTTCCTCGACCAAAGCCTCAGGCGTCTTTCTTGCCCGAAAATGCCTTTTCTGCCAATCTCAACTTCTTTCCCACCCCTAATCCCGATCCTTTCCGTGATGATCCTTTCGCACAGCAGGACCAATCGCCACCCTCTTCATTTGATTCTCTCAAACCTCCAGATCAGAAGACAGAGAATTTGAGTGGCTTGTCTGCTCCGCTGACTAATGGGCCCCTGAATGGGGATGTTGATTACTTTGGTCAGCAGTTTGACCAAATCTCTAACCGGACTGGCAAGCAGGAAGCTCAGGCAGACCCGTGGCCCCTCTCAAGTCCGCAAACCCAGCCAGCAGTGAGAACTCAGAATGGGGTATCCGAAAGAGAACAGAACGGCTTCCATGTCAAATCCTCCCCGAACCCTTTTGTGGGAAGCCCTCCCAAAGGACTGCCCGTACCAAATGGCCTAAAGCAGGACTTGGAAAGCTCTGTCCAGTCCTCCACACATGACTCCATAGCCATTATCCCACCTCCACAGAGTACCAAACCAGGAAGAGGCAGAAGGACTGCCAAGGTGAATTGTCTTCTCCGCATGTGCATTGGCAGAATGCATGTTCGCTGTCCCAGGGTGGTCTGAGGCGAGCTGTCCTTTCTGCTGCTCTTGTGGTTTCCTGTGTGGCTGTCATGTAGAAGGTTGGGGTGAGCCCCTCGTCCCCCAGGAATACCTTCCTCTAATCGCCACCCTGTCAAAGCTTCGCGCTCAGCAGCATTGCCGCGCCCTGCTCTCCCTCTGCATGTCTTGCCTCTTAGTATTAACTAAACACACGTTTTTTTCCGTTTTTAATGCTGCTATGCTTCTGTACCTCTGGTAAGTTTGATGGTCATGTTCTGGGAGTGGAGGGCAAGGGTTCTTGTGATTCCCCTTATATATATACCTTCCCCACATGAAGGTGCGCCCCGCACATACCCCTCAGGTTGTGCCAGTGACCAAGGAGGTGGTGTCAAATTCTTGAGTTTGCCTCCTCTATTAAAAGGTCACTGAATAATCCATTGTCTTAAACATGTATTTACGGTTACCACTTCACTCAAAAGCAATTTAAAATGTGGTTTCTGTTCAGTATTAGTTTTTAATTTCTTTGGAATATGTAGGCTGGCATAATGACTCATGTATCAAGGCCATGCAGACTGATTCAAAGCCACTAGAATGATCAGAAACACTTATGCTACTTATGTTTAACTGTCCCTTCTTTCCCAGCTTCAAGCTGTTAGCTGGCAAGGAGACCAGACAGGCACAAATGTGTGAATAAGTAAATTAGATTTCACTTTGAAAGTCCAAAACCTCAAATCATGCCCATGGCAGGGATCCTTGTCCTTTGCTTTGGCTGGTTGGTTGGTTGGTTGGTGTTTTGTGGTAGTCCCTCAGGACAGGAAGTAGTTTTTCTGAGTGGTTCCCAATTTGAGGTGCAGAGTAGAAGCCAGGATGACACTGCCTTTCTCTGTTGCTGAGTAACTCCTTTCTGTCCATCTCTGCCCTGTCAGTCTCCAGCCAATGACTTGCTGACATCAGACATCTTTGCTCCTCCGGACCCAGAACCTCCAGGCCAGGCATCACCTACGGGACAATCTACAACCCCACAGACCAACCCTCTGGATCTCTTCAAAACCAGTGTCCCTCCCCCTGTGGGACCCCTAGCAGGTCTAGGTAAGGGCCTCACATCAATTCAGGTTTGGCTCTGCTATTTTCACTCCCAGGACAAGAGTGCCTAGAAACAAAGCACTTCATGTCCTTAGAGGTTTCAGGGGCACAAAATGACCTCCTAGGGAGCCTTTCTCCCACTCCTCCTTCTGTACAACCTCACCCCCACATGGTACCCTACAACCTCACCCCCACATGGTACCCCTGGATGTACATGAAATTTGGCTTCTTCAATTGGAATGTGCGAAGAAACCCATGTTCAGTATTGTATTTATTTGAACCAACTGCTCACTAATGACAATTATGAGGGGTTCTGAAACACAGATCAGCTTCATTGGAGAAACGGGGCTAAGATGACAGTCTTCTTTATCGTTTCTATTAGAAAAGTAAGAACCCGCATGTCTTCCACGTAAGTTGCCATTTCTAGTTTGAAGCCCTCTCCCCTATTAAATGGCTACCCCTCTTGGAAGGGACATATACCCTGCAAGGGATGTAAGTCAAGTCTTAAGCAAGTGTAAGTCATGGAATGAAAGGCCTAGGTTCTGAGCCCAGTATCTGAAGGGTGTGGGGCAGGTATAGATCCTATCCACTTCTGCCTACTTAACCCTTAGCAGCTCCTTGCCAATACTCTGGCTAGCTGAGTAAGAAGTAAATGCTGGAAATGTGACATTGAAAAGAGCATCGAGATAAGGGAAGAAGTGGACTTTTTCAGATGACTAAGATGTGCTGGTGCTACCATTCATATGTGTCATTTGCTCCCTCTGTGGCAGGACACTGGGGAAGGCCACATGCCTAAGGGCTGGCCCTGCTACCCTTTGTCCACAGCCTCAGTGGTACAGTCTTCAGAAACCCCAACAACTGTCCTTGCTGTCTGGCTGGGGATTCTCTTTGTGTTTCTGCTTCTTGGCACCACAATGAGCGCCAAAGAGACTTTGTCCGGCAGGGAGCAGCCAGGGGCTCCCTTCCTCATTCCGTACAAGTTGATCAGGGATCTCTCTCTGCCTCCTGTAAGACCCTGCTTTGTTTTTTGCTCTGCTCTTTTCCTGCAAAGGTACGTACTGTGGTTCTGTCATATTAAATTTGTTTAATCATATCGAGAGGATGGCAGCAAAAGGAAAGTCATTACCCAGATGCCAAATGGCTGAAATGCACGTGGCGTGAGAGGCCAGCTTGTCCCAGCGCTCTGCTTGCATTGGTACCATCAAGAGACCCTCCCCGAGCGCTTGGTGTCTTTGGGGAGCTTCCCCCTTTCCCATTGCTCTTTTCCCCACACCCCCAAGTGGAGCTGGTTGATGTTTTTCCTTGCAGAAGGATAGGGAGCTTGCAGATCACATCACAGAGCTTTGTAGTCTGATATCATGCCCCGAAGAATTTTTACAGCCAATATTTAACAAGTCAGCCTGAAAATACAGCTGGACCCTATAACTGTTAATTTATTCAGATGAAGTGAAGCTTTTTGGCCAGGAGCCCCTGTTGAGGCCTTGGGGTATACAACTGCAGAATACTGATGATGCTTCCAAGTTTGGACATGGGACTCAAACTGAGCTCGACAGTATAGCCCCTGTCCACTAGCAGGGATCCTCCGCCAAACCCTGGAAGGTGGTAGGTCTGGCTTCCGCTGGCCCCAGCTGGGGGACTCTCTCCTCTGGAGAATGGGGGTGGGGAGAAGGGGTTGTAAAAAGCTGAGCCTTCAGTTTTGACTTGCTACCCTGAGTTTTCATCTAGAATCAGAATGTAATAAAATGAACTTTTTTTTACTGACACTCTTTTTCTTTTTAACCTCTTGCCTCTACTTTTTCCAGTGGGGCCTCAAATATCTTGAAAACAACGCATGGAATCTTGTAGATGGGAATGAAGGCTGACATAAGTATATACTGGGAAAGTCTTTATTTCCTGGCAAATTTAATATTTTTCTCTTTTACCACCACTCCCACTAATACCACCGATGTCTAAAGCCACACACTTTCCTAAGGAAAAGCAGGCCGTTCAACATGAAAGATGATAAAATTCTACCCAACTTGCACATCCATCTGGTGTAAATTATTACTGAGTGACTCTGGGTTCAGTAATAAAGTTTAAATAAATTTGTTTGAAAATGCTAGAGACAACTTGGTTCAAAACTCGGCTCCCTTTTAGAAGCCTACAATCTAAGATAACTTTCCCTTTGATACATTGTGAAGTCTAAAGCTAAATCTGTAAAATAAATATTTGCATTAACATTCAATTAAAGAAAAAAAAAAATAGTCCTGTTTCTTGATGCCAAGAAGGCTGAACAGGAGGATAGGCTGCTGGGTTCTGAGCCAGTATGCCTGAGTTTTCATCTCTACTGTTGCAAACTGTGACTTTCCCAACTTTAATCATTAATATTCTTGTACCCAGTTCCCTTCCCTCAGACATAAGTGTGTTAACTTAGTAAGATGGACTTTCCTGAAACCCGCCACTCTCCATGAGCACACTGTATGCTTATGGCCAGATGGCTGCTGCTCATGGTAGTAGAGTTGAGTCAAGGAACACCAACCTCCAAGACTAGAAAAGTTTAAGAATACTTTGCTCCATCAGCCCCTGAATACCATTTTCAAAACATTTCTCACTTTGGAAACAGAAGCATCCCTAACCCAGGTTTGGTTAGGGATGTTATGGTTAGAAGACATTCATGATGAAAGAATGTCCTGCCCCAAAGCTCAAAGCAAGTAGGTTTTGAGAGCTGAGCATCATTCTAGAATAGAGCTGCTAGTGGTAACAGTTTAAGTGGGTCATGAATACACTTGGGAAGAGACAATGCCCTCCATCTCTGAATAAGATGTGGGGAAGAGGGACAAACATTGGAGAGACTTGCCTTCAGTGGTTTCACTAACTCCTAATCAATGTGGCAGGGCTGCAGGCAACGGGGCATTCCCCACAGAGATCAGACCCCCAGGCACAGGCCATTTGTTACATGAAAGGTGTTTTCCTCCCTGGGTCTTCACCCTCCCCTCCTCTTTTGCATACTCTCTTCTAACTTCTAGCAAAGTTTAGTGAGTGACACATGGCAGGAAGCACTTTTATTTAAAACAGCTCTCCTGGGTTAACCAGCCTTTCTTTCATGTTCATATAGAAAAACCTAAAAGTATCTTGGTACCAACCAAATTTTATCATCCTTTGGTATAGCTGTATCAACCTTGGCAGCATTGCAAAGAAGGCAACTCTGAAATGGTTTCTTTGGGGTGTAAGCATGTTGAAGCCTAAGGCACATGTGTGATAGCTGCTTTCCATAAGTCTCAGACAGTAGCCAGCTGTCAAATAGAAAGATGGAATCAGTGACTCCGAGTGCCCATGGCTTAATTAACTACTTCATAATCAGCATGGTTTGTATGTGTAAATGTATTCACCATGTTGACAGGCTCGGTTCTAGCTGTTTAAAACACACCAGTGTATGTACGAGGAGGGCCCATTTTTTCATGACTTATGATCTGTGTTACCCCTTCCAATGAAGCAAAAAGATGTGGTAGAAAGAAAGGGCATCAAAATGCCACCTGCATTTGGATACCAGCTATACTGTATTGGCTCATTAATCTTCTCGTGATCTGAGCCTTCATTTCCATGAATGAAGGCATTGGCCATGTAGATGCTTGATAAATGCTTCCGGGAAAGTTGTTTTCTGAAACCCAGAAATCCTCTTTGAGCATATCTCCTGATAAGTCTTTTCTCTCGATTCCTAACAGGTGGTGTCGCAATCCCAGCGCCTCACACAGGACCATGGACCACGCCATCTCTCGTGTTCAATCAGTCCCCTTCCATGGTCCCAGGAGCCATGATGGGTGCTCAGCCTGCCGGATTCAGTCAGCCAGTGGTTTTTACCACAAACCCGGCGGTTGCAGGTTGGAACCAGCCTTCATCCTTTGCAGCCTCAACTCCCCCTCCAGCCCCTGTTGTTTGGGGCCCATCAGCATCTGTGTCACCCAACACGTGGTCATCGGCAAGCCCTCTGGGGAATCCTTTTCAGAGCAATATTTTTCCAGTTCCTGCTGTGTCTACCCCGTCCCCTCCCATGCTCTCCTCTCTCCTGGTCACTCCTCCTCAACCACCTCCCAGAACTGGCCCCCCTAAGGAAATCTCCACCAATGCCTTCGTTGCTTTGGACCCCCTCGGGGATAAAGAAGTCAAGGAAGTGAAAGAAATGTTTAAGGACTTACAACTGCGGCAGCCTCCGGTCCCCGCGAGGAAGGGAGACCAGACTTCCTCGGGGACTTCAAGTGCCTTCTCCAGTTATTTCAACAGCAAAGTGGGCATTCCGCAAGAGAACGCAGACCACGACGACTTCGATGCTAACCAACTATTGAAAAAGATCAATGGTAAGCTACCCACTTCTTCATCTACTAAGCCAACAAGAACTAGTATTTCCACTTTATATGGGCCCACAGAATCCATCAAAAGAAAACTCTCCCGCCCACCAATAGCCTAGCCCACCAATAGCCTAATCGGTGGTTATGGAGACAACTTAACCATTTACCTTCTGAAGCTAACTATTCACCTCACTTTTTAAGGTCTGGCCCTATGCTGCCCTCTTGTGACAAATCTTAAGAGGGCTGCCAAGAGCTATTGATATTCCATGGGTGCTGGTAGCTGGAGGGCTGTTTAGTAAAGCCTCCACCAAGCTCCATGGACTCCTGGGAGGGAATCTGAAGCTCTTTCACTTCAAGTCAATCTATATGCATGGTGTCCTCTTCTGAGAGGGATGGATTTGCCTGTAATAATTGGGAGCCTTCGTATGTGGTGGTGATGTTTGCTCTATTGATGCACATTTCAAAAACATGGAACTTACTTTCTAAGATAAGCCTGTCTGGGGACTGCTCCTTGTATTTGTGGAAAGCTAGTCTACTGATTACTTGGGTTTTTCACCTTCTAGAACCACCAAAGCCAGCTCCCAGACAAAGTGCCCCGCCAGCTACCAACTCCTCTGACAATGCATTTGAGAACCCTTTCTCCAAAAATTCTTTCAGTTCATCGCAAGCTTCTGTAAGTATCAGCTGTTGCAAGCTGTAAATCACAGTGTGCGCCACATAGAGCTACTGCCTCCTCATTTAACCTTGCTTGTAATTATAACAATTCTGTGATGATAAAGGACGGTTAAAAAAGATTTATCATTGAGAACCACCACTATGTAATCAACTCAGACTGGGGGAAGATGATTTTTGCAGGGATGATGAGTTTTGTTCTAAACTTGAGAAATGAATATCATATAGAAAAAGTATTTTATATCTCATTGAACCTAGCTCATGAAAACACTTGAAGAGAAAATCAAACCAAAGTACTATCTTTAAAAAACAAATTTTTCAAAGATTTAAGTTCCTGATTTCTCACCCATAATTCTTTAGCTCATTAAAAAAAAAAAAATACTTCCCATTCTGGGGAAGCAAACATAATCTTTCTGAACCTTGGTTTTGTTGTAAATAATAAATATATACCATTAGTTATAAGCTGCCAAATATAAATCATTGTAGACCCTTTTGTGAACTATGTGAATTTTAAAGAAATTAAAGAAGTCATAAGTATTTTTCCTCATAACTATAAGTATACTTATTGATTGGTTGGTTGTATCTCCATAGATGGCTTCTCCTCAAACTGCATCTCCTGATGTATATAGAGATCCTTTCGGAAGTCCTTTTGCCTAACTTCTGTAAGTAGAGTGGCATAGGGGATGAGGATGAAATTTTAATTTTAGAATTGGAAAGAGGTTCGGTCTCTATCATTTAGAAGTAATAGACAAGGAAATATATACTTAGCTACTTTGATGATTAGGCTGGATGTTTAAGAAGAGACTTTATATATAGTAGAGGTCTGGTGCACAAAATTCATGCACTCATGGGGGAGGGGAGAGTTCCTCTGCCTGGCCTGCACTCTCTCACAGCCAGGGGATGTCCGAATGCTGGCTTAGGCCCGCTCCCTGGGAGGCCTCAAGCTGCATTCGCCAGCTGTGAGTCCAGCTTCTGGCTGAGCAGTGCTCCCCCTGTGGGAGCACACTGACCACCAGGGGGGTGCTCCTGCATTGAGCATCTGCCCCCCGGTGGTCAGTGTACATCACAGTGACCGGTTATTCCTCTGTTCAGTCAATTATCATATTAGGCCTTTATTATATAAGATATATCAAAAATAGTAATAGACCCCTGGGCATGTGGATTTATATCATATCCCATGTTTTTGGTATTTCAGGTAAGTATGGAAGTAAAACATAGCATAACCTATAGCTTTCTAGTTTTGTGCTGTTTTACCTTCATATTTAAGTGATTGCAAAGCATCCTGGTAATTACTTGGTTCCTATAGAACAGCAGTTTTCAACCTTTTTCATCTCATGGCACACTGAAAATAATTACTAAAATTCTGTGGCACACAAAAAAATACTATATTTTTGGCCCATCTGAAAAAACAAAATAGGTATATTCTGATTCATTGGTACTGGATTGCCATTGTTGTATGGGCTGTTGTCTTTTTTTTTTTTTTTTTTTTTTTTTTTCATTTGAAAATTTAAGGGAAAATAGGTCAGTGCCCCTGACTAAATAATCAGATATTGCATATTTTAAGAATCCTCTTGGCACACTGTTTGAAAATCACTACTATAGAAGGCTCAAAATCTGTAGACCTTCTGAAGCCACAAAACAGGTCAGCTTAACAGGTAATGATCACAATATTCTGCCTCCCAAATCAGTACTTATTTCTTTGTGAGGGCCTCCGAAGCTAGTCTTAAATAGTCCGATGGCATTAAACCCCAAAGTGGGGACAGTTGCCAATATCTCCTTCAAAAGCAGTGTTAGTGCTGATGAGTTTGGTAGTTGATCCTTTCCACTAGTGGATTTCATCCTCAGTAAGTTATTGATGTAACTAACCTTTCTTTCTCAGCAGTGAGTGGAAGCAACTTTGATTGACATTAAAAGATTGAAAATAGTGGAGGAAAGGAGGTATATCTGCATTTAGGAGGTGGGCATAGCTGGCTCAGGAGGCCCATCGAAAGAGTGAAAAGAACCATCTTCTATCTGACAATAAGACTGAGTTTATTTGGAATTTGGATCACCTTCCCCTCAATGCATTTCTACAACTGCAGTGTTTCTTATGGGCTTTTTCATAAAATCTGCTTCAGGGAACTGGGTGGGATTGTTGGAAAGGCAAATTCCAGAGCCCAGCCCTGCCCTAAAGTACCCATGTTTGGTGCTGCAGAGAAAAGCTTGGTTTTAAGAAGCATCTAGGTGGTTTGTAATGCTAATAAGACAGTGTAATATATTGACGGGCTAGAAGTCTTAGCAGAGACTCATTGTCATCCTCCTCTCCAGGAGAATCATTGAACAAATAGAAACATATAAACTACACTAGGAGCCTGGGAGAACTGTTTGCACTAAATTGAATTGACTAGAGTTCTCTTTGGAGGTTCCTTTTTCTAGGCCTAGAAGGAAGAATAATCTTGGTCAACCTGCTAAACTAACAGATTGGGAGGGGAAGCATCATGGGAGAAACCGCTAACATTATTGATCACTTGTGTTAGGCACTTTATCACAGGTTCTACATTTATTATCTTATTCAACCCTCTTGCATCAGCCCTACAAGATACTATTACTGACATTTTAAGTAATGGCTTGATGTTTAATACATTGATATTCAATTAAAAAAATCTAACCACAGGTTTTCTTTTCTCCATACTTGTCTAGGAACTTGGCTTGCTGACTATCCAGAGGAACAGAAAGGTTGGCCTTAGCAGTCAAGGACAAAGCTGATAGCCACATTAGTCCTGACCTCTGCCCTTGTTCCAGCTTTGCATATTATCTGCTGCCTTATTTCTTGCTGCCTCTTCCACCTGCAAAGTGTCTCTCACTTTCTGTTTAGGTTAATGCTAAACTGAATCTTATAGCTTTAAATAAATTAAGAATCTAAACACTCTAGCTTAAATATAAATGAAGTAGTTTCCCTACCTGAACCCTTACCTATTGTGTCCCTAAACCCTTCTAAAACATTCTACCATGTACCCTCTGGTTGTACGATGCAGCCACCCCTCAGATCAGAATGCTTTGAATAAATTTTAAAATCCTTACTGTTCAAGGTTGTGTGGGGGTTTCGTTTTAGAGCATAAAACCCAAAAATGGTAGTAGAGCAGGGCACCTTCTGAAATCTTGCTTCACACCCTCACTTCCAGAGAATTTTTAAAGAAAAATTGAAGTAAGTCCAACTTCTCTGTAGGCACTTTGGAATCCGGCACGCCCAAGAACCTTTTTAAAGATTGACTTCTCCTCTTTCTGTAGATCGTATTTTTCTCAAGGGCGATTCTCCAGTCTGCTAGCTCTTGCCAACAAGGGAAATGCATTATTTGTGTCTCCTCTCCTTTTCCCTCTGATTCTCTTCAATCAGTTTTGCTCCTGGGTTCAGATCATTACCTTTTCACAAGAAATCGAGTTTTGTGGGGCAAAAACCTTTAATGATTCACAAATCTGAACTCTTGTCACCTTCTCAGTAATTGCTAATCCCAGTAACGAGAATTGCAAATGGGACAACCTTTATCCTCTCTGTGGAACAGGGGCCCATCCTCTTGAGCTGAAGTTACAGGACAGCAGTTAATGGTGAAGAAAACCTGAACTCCACTCAGCAATGAAGGACAACACATCACAATGTTAAATGTGATCATGCCAAATACGTTAGGTGCTTCTTTGGGGATAGGCTAGACCTTTATCAAGTAACTGGAAAGCTTTCTGGCAGCCACAACCTCTGGGAGATAAATAGGCAAAAAAAACATACACAAAAGCCTGCGGAACAGTTATTTCCTCCTATCATTGCAAACCGAATGTCTGAAATATTTTCCTCCTATAACCTTGGAAACTACCTAGTTCATTTTCAGTCCTATTGCTGGCACAGTTCTGGAGGGTTTGTTCTTGTCAAAACGAGTTTTATTTGTTTATGTTGGGTTTTTAATGTGTCTCTTGACCCCACGTGCTCTCAGGTTCTTGTGGGTGTTAATCAACCAACCACATACATGTAACCTTTAGATAGAAGAAGAGGATGACTGCTTACCATCTAAATAAGATGCTGGCCTCGTGAATCTCTATGGACTAGCTCCAGCTAGTCCAAGCTAAAGTCCCATGGTTTTATGTTTAATGGTAATAGCTCATCGTATTTGGCATAGCTTTCCATCTTGCTTCCTACTCAGTCATTATAAACACAGACTTGAAATAGTATTTTATTTGTCCAAATACCTAAATGTGCTAAACTGGAGGCAATTATTTCTAGATAGTTGGAATTTTTGAAAGTAGAAAAAAAAATTTTTAAGTAATGATCAGCCACATAAATATTTTATACATACTTGTTTTCTTGTGCACTTTCTGTATGAAAATAAAGCTATGAATTTACTCATTTCAATAAACTGGAATGGCAGAATCTCATGTGTGACCATCAGTTTATTCTATTATGTAATATATAACCCCTGTTCTATGTTGCTGTGCTAGGGTCAAGATATAAAATACACGTGACTAAGGAAGAAGGGTTAGTTATAATACATTGTGAATGGCCACAACGATGAAGAGGAAGTGGAGATGCATTAAATAGGATCATACATAAATTATCAACATATCTTTCAATTCCTCATTCTCCTCTCTCAGACCTGCATTCCTCCTTCCTGGGAGATTAATGGGAATCCAGTGGATAAGGCCTGTACCAGTACAACCTCAACGATGTCAGGAATAAAAATCCTTCAATAGCGAACTCTTGGCTCACACATTTTACTCTTTGCTTATTCTTGTTTTTGTTTGACCTCACCAGGACACAACCTTGGACTGGCTCAGGCTGGAACAGGCCATTCAGGAGAGCTTCTGTATGAGGTGGGCTGGCCACTGCTCAGATATTTTTAACCCTAGGACACCCTTAAACACTCCCCTGTATAAAAGTTCAAGGCTCTCATTCTTTTCAAGAAGACATAGATGTAAGAAGACATAGATGTTTGAGGAAGATGACCCAAAGGCAGGCCTTGCTTGGGTAGTGAAGTGTTGGTGCTAAACTTGATTCTTCTAAGAATAAGACAAATTTGGTATGTGTGTATGGTGGGGGCGGGGAGGTGTCACTGATTGGTGTTCACTGTTATGGGACGTTTGGTATTACTGTTCACCTTCCCCCTGACCTGAACATTTGCTCTCTTTCTCACAACAATGAGTAGAATATAGAGAAACATACTCCACACAAAAACAGCTTCCAGAAAGTCACGAGTGGACACAGTTGTTGATGAGAGCATGTTGCACAAATTACCTGATTTATCCAGCTGTCTGTAGAATGTCTAACCCACTGAGCCCATGCATCATTTCCAGCTGGCTTCTGTAAGATCTTGCTAGAGATTAACCCTTGCTCATGTGTGCTAGGGGAGGACACTGATTTCAGCATAACAGGAACTACCGTTGACCAAGCAGAGGAAGGTGCTTACTGAAGTGTCCCAGCAAAGTGGAAACGGACCTCTTTATCATCTCTCTAGTCACGGGTGCTACTCTGACCTGTATACCAGAAGTCCATCTCTTATGGTAACCCTCTTCTACCTGGAAGAGGCTTTCAGTTAGGCATCAGAGAGACCTAAACTCAGAGAGATCTAAACCTTGAACAGTCAGTATGCTCCCAACTGTCTCACAGAAAGGCAATACAGAAAGAAAGGTATTGATTT